AATACCGATACATCGATAGTATCGTATCGTTTGAATGAAAATAAAAATACAATTTCTCTGTTTTGTATGATTTGTATGAATGATAATGTGATTAACGCGCGATTCACTGCTCATTCAGACAGTGATTTGCACGCTAACACACGTCCACTGCATGTCATGTCTTCACTCAATGCCTGTCCATCGCCTCTACGACCAGTTCCGCAGTTCTTCAACGACTGCAACAACGCTTTCACCACAAAAAAAGTAAGTTTTCACTCATGAGTTCATTTGATGGCTAATTATTGGTTAATTGTGGTGTTGAAGGCCCGGTACAACTCGACGCCCACTGCCAAGAAGGTGCCCCCCAGACCCCCCTCCAAGACTGTGCCCCCCATCAGCCGCTTCTTCAGACGCCCCAACCATTCGGCCGCACAGGCCATCAGTTTCAAGGATAACAGCGACTCGTGTATGACATGACAACTCTGACCACATATGAGATAATTGATGTCTAATTGATGTCTAATTGCATGTCTTTGTGATCAGCTCTCAGCAAACACTATGACTCGACTCGTGAGGAGTCGTATTTCGAGCAGTGCTTTATTGTCGAGAAGAAGATAGGAAGCGGTTCTTTCGGTGATGTCTTCAAAGTGAAGAGTCGAGAGGACGGCAAGTATTACGCCATAAAGAAGTCGCGCGAGAGGTTCAAAGGGAAGTCGGACCGCGAGAGGAAGTTGGAAGAGGTGTGTAAACACGAACAGCTGCCCAAACACCCGAACTGTGTGCGACTGTTCCGGGCCTGGGAGGAGAAGCAGCACCTGTACATACAGACCGAGTTGTGTGAGACCAGTCTCAGCGACTTCGCAGATGTCAATCACGACATTCCCGAACCCATTGTCTGCAATTATTTGGTTGATTTGCTCAAAGCTGTTCAGCACCTCCACGATCACCACTTAATACATCTCGACATTAAACCCGATAATATATTCCTCTCGAGGCATGGTCTCTGCAAATTGGGAGACTTTGGACTCGTTCTCGACGTTAATAAAGTAAGACAACCATTGAGTGATTGATGTGTCCGTTGTTTGACAGCAATATCTGTTTGTATGTCTTTACAGAATGACACGAACGAAGCCACAGAAGGAGACCCCAAATATTTAGCCAAAGAGCTAATGTCGGGTCAGTTCACAAAAGCTGCCGATATATTCAGTTTAGGCATAACTATACTGGAAATAGCGTGTGATTTAGATCTGCCGTCCGGTGGAGAGGGTTGGCATCAACTCCGAGACGGCCACATTCCCGACAACCTTCTCAACGGTATTTCATAGCATTGATTTGGTTTGATGTGAGCTTAGATCTGATTTGATGTGTATTTATTTAGGCATGAGTTCCGAATTGAGTGAAATAATAAAAGCTATGATGAGTCCTGACTATAGACTCAGGCCATCGGTGAACCAATTGTTAAGTCATCCATTCATTCGGCGAATTGAATGCTCGCGTCGATGGAAGTTGAAGAGCAAAAGAAGCCTGAAGTTAGCGAAAGCATTACTTAATTGGTTTTTGCAGTTTTTTATCAACACTTTTCTCTTCATATGTTATCCATTCAAATATTTATACCAAACTATCGCTAAAAGGCCCGAAACTGAAACGCCCTTAAAGTCTCCAAACAATTCAAATTATTTATATGACAACGATTTCGACAACTATTCGGACGACGACTTATTCGACGCCTCCTCCGTCTCTCTTCTGAACAATTCCGACAAATCCTCCCAAAGTGAAGACAAACAGTCGACCGCCTCTTCAGTCGACAACTCTTTTGATATCCAAAAGTATTTCTCATTATTATTGTCTTAATTTATAAAACATTTAATGAATTGTTATTTGATTTGAAGTCACCGTAAGTTCTGCTCGACAACTGTTATACACCGACACCGACCAGTGTTTGCCCACTCGTTCGCGTCGCCC